ATTTGTTTTCCGGTTCCATTAATGAAAAATTTTGGTCACTATATATTGGAGTATTTAGAACTTGTTTTTAAAAGTTCTTAAAGCAGAATCCAGGAATTCTGCTGGTATGACTTATCTCCTTTTTTCTTTGCTCAAATTATTGTGCCACACCCATGTTCAAATCCTAGTAGCTCTCATATGCAACTTGGACACAACTTGTTTCTTGCACTCTGTTCTGCATATACTGTAAATTCTATCTACTTTTCTTCACTCCCTCAAATTCTATGAGGCCTGTATCAGGTTTCCAGTTATATATTCTCTTTTTTAAATTTTATCTTCCTCCTATTTTATTCTCAATTTCCTGGAAGTTACAAATAAGCTGTATTCTTTTTCCTCCCTCCCCCCCCCTTAAAATGGTTGTTTTCATAAAGGGACATGTTCAAAATCAAACACTAGAAGATGTTAGTTTTAAAATAGTGAGGTGTTCTTCTAATTCTGAGTTTTTGCACATAAAAAAGAATCTACTCCTAATTAGTCTTTAATCCTATACCTTGAAAATCTGAAAGATGGTGCTTAAATGTAACAAAATATTGCATTTCCATGGCTTTCTATTTCACAGCAGGTATTGCTAGAGCTTAACGTGTATAGATTTGTAATGTTCTATGAATTGTTTTAAAAGTTGGTGTTCATGCTAAATTTTTTTACATTTTATGTTGCCAATGAAGTAACATAGACATAGCTTGTAATGATAAAATGTTCCTATTTTGTTGCTTCATTGAGTCATAAACTGTAACCGTTAGTAACTGGTTTTCATTTCCTGTAACACAGTACATAAGAAAACTTTTTTATTCTTTAAAACCACAGGTGCATTTCTGTCTTAAAAGATGTCATGAACTTCTGAATGGGACTGTTAGAAAAGATATTTTTCTTTGTATGTCTGCAGGGGTGTGTTTAAAATAGCAGCATAATCTTATGCATGTTTATTTTGGAACATATCTACTGATTTTAGGACTTATTATCTAATAAGTATGCATAGGGTGGCAACTTTTCTGGGCAAGAGCTTCTGAAGATTAGCTCATGTTTTCTCAGATGTATGAAGCATTATCAGTTAGAAATTGTATCGGGTACAGGAATGTATTTGTGTTTTGTGAATACTGGGCAACAAAACAACAAAAATATGAGAATTGTTGGTCCATGACTTTTTTTATAGAGAACAATAACGCAGAATTGTTTGGCAGAGTGAGATGGGTGGCATATAAATTTAATAAATAAAATAAATAAATAATGTATGAAAGATAACATCACAGCTTATCCACTGGGCTAATTTTATTTTTCTACTTACATTTAATTTAACTTATTTGGGCACAGTTACATTGACTGATACTCTGAATGGGTCACAGTACCTGATGTATGTTTGGGCTCCCTACAAAAATGTTAAAGCTTTGTTCCTACCTTTTGAATCCCATGGTTCTTTGTTTATACTTTTTTTTCTCCTATCCCACCTTAATGGGAACAAGTTAACCCCAACTCAGTCAAACTACATCATGTCAAAATCAAAGGTGTCATTTAAAAAAAAAATATTTCTGAAGATTGAGGGCTTATATATAGTAACAGTATTGGAATAAAAGCTTCTCCAGAACTTTGTTGGCCTTCTATCAAAGATGATTATAAATGCAACCTTGCAATCTCTGATTACTTCATATTGTCAAATGTAATTATCATTTGTAAAACTGAAGTGACAGGCTGTCCTTAGAAATATGTTTATGAAAACAATGACAATTCAAAAATAGGTTAGTTATATCATACTCTACTGAACAGTATCATTTAGTCATGAATCTTAGCATACAAGTAGTCCTTGACTTACAACCATTCATTTAATGACCATTCGAAGTTACAACGGCACTGAAAAAAGTGACTTATGACAGTTTTTCACA